AGGTTGAGGATGTAGAGCTAAGACCTGATTTGTCATATGAGGAGGAGCCTATTCAGATCTTAGAAAGCGATGAGCGAGTTCTTCGGAATAGGTGCATTCCAATGGTAAAAGTTCAATGGAGTAACCGAGGCCCCTCTGAAGCTACTTGGGAGATATTAGAGTCAATGAAGGCTCATTTTCCTCAACTATTCTCATAAGGTAAATTTCGAGGACGAAATTGCTTGTAGAGGGGGAGAATTGTAACAACCCGGAATAAAATTTGGAAAAAAAATTATTAACTAAGTAATTTGGCAAAATTTGAGGATTTAATCGGAAGTTTTCAAAATTTTAGGCCATTTTAGAAGTTAAAGGAAATTCAGGGACTAAGCCATGAATTTAGCCAAAGAGTGTCAGCAGGTTATGTGGTTTTATACATGCACTGCGTTTCTGATTTTAAAATCATAAACTTTTGTAAACAAAATTCCTCCTCTCGCACCCTTCTTGCAAGTCTGATCCCGACGCCGTTCGACATCCGATCGTCAAATTGAAACCACCATCGTGTTCATCTTCGACTCGTGAACAAAGCCCAATAAACCAATTTTAGTGAAACGTTGCCAAACGCCGTGAATTTCGAGTCAAAGTATCGACGTTTTTTTAGCACCACCGCCGGGAAAATCTTAAATTCATCTCCGATCGTTGATCGGTTTTCGACACCTCCTGTACCATCGTGTTCCTTGTGTCGTTTCGAGTCCGTCGGTGTCAACCTTGTTTGTCGTCGACAACGGCGCGTGAGGAGGTGGAGCAGTCAAAGATTCGGCCGAGTTGAAATCGAGCTCTCTGCCGTTCAAAAATTTGAACCGATCTTTGTAAGTATCTCAAAATCGCTTAAAATAATTTTTAGACATTTTTCCGGAATTTTTAGACCCCCGGAGGAGGCCTCACGCGCCACACGCGCCGCCGCAGGGAGAGTGGAGGGCTGGAAACCGGTTTGACTTTCAACCGATTCTGACCGGTTTGACCGGTTTCGACCGGTTCGAACCGATTTGACCGGTCTGACCGGTCTGACCCGACCCGACTGACCCGACCCGATCGTTGATCATTGACCGTTGACCGTTGACTTCCTTTGACCAAAACTTAAAATGGCTTTGACCGGCCCTTAAACGACCGTAAATCTTTTCCGAGTATACCTATTCTGATAGTTTTCGACGTCCCAAATCCGTTTCATCAAATTCGAACCCGAAGGCCTCCAAATTGACGGTCAAAGTGGTTGACTTTGACTTTGACCAAGAATCTGAATTTTTGAAAATTCATACTTTATGTTTTTCGACGTCCTGATTCCGATTCCGCAATCCGTTTGGCCAAATTCAGACTCAAAATACCCCAAAATGATAGTCAAACCCGAAAAATGCTTATATACTTAAGAATTTTAGCTTTGAACAATTAAGTAAGCTTTGGGGTTGATTAATTATTATTGTTTGAAGGTACAAGAGACTCTCCGGATCGTTCGACAGCTCGACCCAGCTCTTCTAGATCAGTTAAACCACGTATACCAGTATTCACCCGTTCAAAAACTGTAACAGAGCGTGGTGAAACCAGCAATCAGTAGATCTACTATCTGAACCCATTATCGAGGTGTGTTCCTGTTTACTACATAATGGTTTTATATGTTTTGAAATATGGTACATTGAAATCTATGGTTTATTATTGTTGGTACACCGATTTATTATTGATGATTTATGGACTTTGATGACTGGTATATGGATATTGATTTTGGGATGATTGAACTACAATTGTATAGCTCTGATTAAGCTAATAAACGGGCCTAATGTGACTCTTGAGGGCCCCAAGATGTTTCATTAGGTCGGCTTTCCTTTGTTGTATGCTTAGGGTAAGCTATATGGACTTATTGACTTGGGCTTAAGAATACAGGCTTCATAGCTTATCCTTAAGTCGGCTTTCTTTTTGCTATGTGCATAAAGTAAGCTATATGGAAAATAATTTTGGGAACTACTGATGGTGTACCAGAAAAGGGTTTAAACAATGATTTTCAAAAGTTAAACTCTTTTACGAATTTGTGAGTTTACTGGACTATGATTTGTTTAATGTACCTATTGTGATTTTATGGTAATGTTGGGACACACTGAGCCTAGCTCACCTTTCGAAAATGTTTTTCCCCTTTCAGATACTGTTGGTTAGATACCTCGGTTCGAGCACTTGGAGGATCAACATATCTCTTGAAGTATATCTGATTGTAATATTTTAAAATTGCAAGTTGACTTTATTCTGGTGACATGGACCTATTTTAAAGTATTGGATTTTATAATGATGATACTTTTGCTATTACTATTCAGTTTATCGTGGTTTTGATTTTTTAAGATATGTTTTAAATTAATTTATTACTGATTGGTTTTATATTTAAGAGTTGAGTTTTAAATAGTATAATTTATTATAATTTCATGTCATGAATAATGTGGTTTTACATTGATTGGATAACGGTTTTGGAAAATGTCTTTGTGATCCACTAAACTTAGTCGAAACGCATAGGGGGTCTAGGGGGTTTCAAGGCACATTCATCTTTTCCCAGTCTGGACTTCGACTTTGATCTCCCTCTCCACTTTGTCTTTTGACTTTTCCAGCGACCTCTTGCCACCATGGCCTCTGCTGCTTCGTACTTGCTCTCCTTCTTGGTTTTCTTCCTGAGTTCATAACTATACAAAGCAGCAGTTACATCTTTAAGGGTAACATTATCCTTACCATGAAGTAACATTGTCTCAAGGTGCTCAAATTCATCTGGAAGAGATGACAACAACATCAAAGTCAAATCTTCATCTTTGAAGGTTTCATCCATGCCTAATAAGTCTTACACTAGCTCATTGAACGCAGTGATGTGTTCATTCATACTGGTGCCTGGTTGATAATCAAATCTGAACAATCTTTTCTTCATGTGGAGACGATTATGAGAGCTTTTCTTCAGGAATTTTTCCTCCAAAGCTTTCCACATCTTACTTGCAGAAGTCTCGTTCTTGTAGCCATACTTCTGCTCCCTGGAAAGACAAGATCGAATCATGTTGCACGCCAAACGATTGATTGTTCCCTATTCTTTCTCCTCCATATATTCGGGTTTTTCTTCCTCAATGGCGATGTCTAGACCTTGTTGGAATAAAGCGTCTAACACCTCGCCTTGCCACATGCCAAAATGACCGGATCCATCGAACAACTCCACCGAGAAATTTGCATTTGACATCACCCTCCTCACCGGTCCAGATGCAGAGCTTGATGTCTCAACTGATCCGTATTTTGGCATTTTAATTCTAATGAACAATATTCAATATCACGAACTGCATCTTTTCAGCAACGGAACCACCAGGATAACCTCAACCGAAGCTCTGATACCAATTGTTGGGGAAAACAGGTTATTTCCCACACGAACGTAGTTTTAAAATTGACCTAAAATATCAATATTAAAACCACCAAAGGTTGCATAGCGGATAAACTTGTCAAACTATTGAATATTTAAACACAATGGAAAAGAACCGAATAAAAAACAATAAAGGAGAGAACACACCAAATTTACGAGGTTCGACGAGAATATCGTCTACTCCTCGGGCACCACACCGGATGATAACTTCACTATATCACCAATATTACAACAAATGGAATTCTTTGGAATTCCCAAAGTGGGAGAATGAAGAATACAAGAGGAAGAGAGAACTTGTTTTTGGGATGATTTCTAATGGAAATACTTAGGCCTATTTATAGTTGAGTTTCAAGAACAATATGTTCAAAATTTGGCCACCTACCAAAGAATTTTCCAATGTGTACAAGTTAGCCATCAAATATGAAATTCACATGCTCAAAGTTTGGCCACCAACCAAGATGAAATTTCCAATAAGTTGGCCACCAACCAAGATGAAATTACCAACTTGTCAACTTAATTTCTAGACAAATCTAACAGTTATTCACTTTGATAGCAGCAACGAGATTTGTTCTTCTTCGGATAGATGCAGACAGATGAAATAACTTTGAATTTTGACGCTAACTTGGTTGTTGCTTTAGGGAGCCAGTTTATAGTGATTCCTGGAAATATAATGATCAAACATTTGTTCAATACTTAATGGAAACACTTGAGAAACAACTCTCGGTGAATTGATTACCGATCGAACATTGTTTTTCTTCTGTTCATTTTCGACTATAATGCTACTCCATATTTCTTCTTTCCAAGATGTTGCATAACATGGGAGAACGGAAGTTAATGGTATTCAGGCTCGGACCGACGGGTTGCGTAACACTTCAGAGGGTGTTAAATACGTCGGGACAATGCCAGGAAAGAGCAAAAAAGTTGGCTCTCAGTTTCAACAAAGCCGCTAGCCAATTATTGAGCAACACGGAAAGTAGACTTCCCGGTGCTAACTTTAAGTTCGGAGATGCATACGATGTCGTCGACCACATGATCCGGAATCCAGAGAAATACGGTGAGTCCATGTCCGGAAAAAGAAAATTTAACTTCACGGCAAAGGTAAACACGCATATTTTCATAAGGCTCCTATAGAGCATTTGTCGCAATTGAGTTCCGGATTTCGATGTTCTGCAGGTTTTAGTAATGCCTATTCGCTGTGTTGTTTGACATGCTTATCGGCATCGACGTTGTGTTCAGATCGAAGAAGTAGTGTTTTGGGACAAGTATGTATCATCCGTCGGATGGTGCCAGTCAGCTCATCGCTAATGAACTTACAAAAAAGTGTTCCTTGGAGGTAATTAAAACGCTCCTGCACCCACACTAGAATCTGCCATTGCTCCATCTCCAGATGAATATATATATATATATACACACACAATTCGCTCACCACAGCTATTTGTTAAAAAAACCAGCTTGCTTGAGCTGGTGTAATGTAATAATTATTTTTTAAAAATTCACAATTTTCGCCTGCTTTAGCATGAATAATCCACTTAAATTCTCCTAAACTTTATTTCCTCTATTCATAATACTGGAAATTGAAGCTATTTAAGTAACATCCAACTTGTTATGGGCCCAGTCCCACCAGTGAAGACTCATCTTCCTCCACAAGCTTTCTAGTAATATTTTGAGTACAGGCGCCATTGATTCTTTTGTGGCTGGCTCTATGGCCTCCCAGTGCTTGGTGAGACACAAAATCTTTGTTACAACCACTGCATTGGAACTTTCTTTTGCTTGATTCTATCTTCTTCAAGCTATTTGCACAAGTTTCATCCATGGAAGCCAATTGACCCGTACCTCTGGAAAGCATCACTAAGCTCAAAGCAACCTCTTGTTGTTGTTCTTGCTCCATCTCAGACATGGAAGATGAATTTTCAGGGACAACCTCGTCGTACCTTGTTCTTCTTCTATTTCTGGTTTCGGATCTAAAACCAGAATTGTCTGATGAATAACACTTCATGTGACCAAAAAACGACAATCTACTCCATTTCTTCTTGGTTTTCTGTCTGAGAATATAGCAGCCATTGTTGTCTGGTTCAAGCTTCTTCTTCTTGATGAATTTCTCGTCTGTTTCAGCTGAATTATTCATGTGAGACCTCATGTGACCTCCTAAAGATCTACCACAAGGGAAGCTTTTCGGACACAACTTACAAACATACTTGAATCCGTTACCTTCTTCCATTGATAAAACAAATTCAAGTATTCAACAACTCAGATCAGAAGACAAAAAAAAAACAAAACAGGAAACTTTACGAAATCTGATGGAACAATCGTGATAAACAATGCTTCTATTTCTCGATCTAACCCGTCATTAAAGAAACAGAAAAACACAGATCAAAACATGTTTAAAAACAATGGATTTTGCTGAGAATTCAATACAATTATGTAAAAAAACCAAGATCTGGTGAACTCTAACTTGATTCAAGTATGAACTATAGCTTAAGTACGGAGAAAAAGATCAGAACTTTTAAAGGAATGGGGGAATTCTTTTGCTTGTTTTTGTTTAACAGATCACGATGAACAAAGGGAAATCACAGTTTTTTTAATTTAAAGAATTTTCTGGGAATTTCGATCATATTTGGGAGGAGAAGTCCATGCAAAGAAGCAAAGATAAAAAAAAGAGGTGATGGAAAAGATAGCCAGCACACGTGGACTTAACTGAGAATCCTACGCCATCTTCATAAAATTTCAATGGCTGTGATTTGTCCAGTTCAGCATCTGTATTGTTTGAATAAATAAATAAAAATAAACACCCAACTGCCCTTAACTATTCTTTCCTTTGTCCTACTAGTAAGGAATGGCCATTGGCCAGTCCCCACCTCTTTGACTTAATTGTATTGGACTTCCTAAATTATAACTATTATTTTAATTCAGTTCTTAAACTTTAATATGTTTTATATCAATCCCTAAACTGTGTTATTCATTCTAAGTTAGTCTCTAAACTTTAAAACATTTTATATTATTCTTCAAACTATCAGTATCATTTCATTAACATATTATTAATTCTATTGGTTAAAAAAAGTAATCTATTTTCAAAGGTCATAAAATCTTTTTAGAAGGTCACATGTTCAAATCCTAGGACAAACAGAAACAAATTAAAAAAATTTAATCAATGAGATTAATAAAACGTTAACAAAATGATTAAAATATAATGATATTGATAGTTTGAGGATTGATATAGAATGCTTTAAAACTTAAGAAACAATTTAGAATAGAGGTTATAATTTGAAGATTGATATAAAATATTTTAAAGTTTATAAACCAACTAAAATGAGATACATAATTTAAAGACATCTTAAATATTTATTCTTTTTTAAGAAAAATTATCTCTTATACCCATTGAGTATCTTCAGTGATAAAAGAAAATGTTATTTTTTTCTAAAGGATCTAGGTTCTAATTGTTTTGTATATGCAATATGTGTATGTTGTCAATTAATTAAGAAACATTTCGAGAACTCTCGTCATATTCACACATTTAATATCTTGTTAGTATCATAGTTGTGATTAGGGATGGGCATGGGTCGGGTTTGAGTCAGGTTTCAGCCAACCCGGCCCGACCTAAAAATTTTACATCTTTCACCCAACCCGACTTGAAAAATATATACCCTCCACCGACCCCAACCCGATTTTATGAGATAAAATTCAAACCCGATCCGACTCGACCTGAAAAAATAAAAAAAATATATTATTTTTATTCAATAAAAACAATGATTTAATTGAAAAAAATAATATATTGAGGGTACTATTGTAATTATTCTTAAATATATAAGGTAAAATTATATTGTTTGGGTAGTCGGGTATTTTTCACCCTAAACCCATTCCAACCCGACCCAAAAATCACTTTTAAAAAAACCCGAACCAAACCCGATTAAAAAATTGACCCGATCGGGTCGGGTTCCATGCTCATCCCTAGTTGTGAAGGATGAGCATTTAACCCTAACCCATCAAGTTTCAACTTAATCATGTGGGGTTAATTTTTTTTGTTTTGTTAAATTTTCGAATTCGGATTAGATCAAGTTTTTTGAATTATACACTTGGCTTAAGTTCAAGTTTAAGTGAAAAATACTCAACCCGAGATGATGTCTATATCTATTTGTGTTGGGTGATGTCAGATTGAAGGTAAGTTTTCTACTTTAAAAATCAAATTGAATTTTAAGTCAAATAATATAATACTTGAATCAAATTTAGATAAACCAAAAACTCGATCCAACCCAATTGTATCTAACCCTTATTTAATGTAACGAGATATATGTAAGCTTGTAATGTAAGAGTAGAAGTGGATAAAGAAACAAGTGTTGGGGACAGCTTATTTAGCAAGAAAGATATATTTTTGGATTGTGCAGGTAATTTCGCTGAAACATCTCAATCTTCCATCCTCCATTTACTCAACTCTTTCACTATGTTGTTGTCCAGGTTTAATATGCAAATTTTGGTATGTGTCCCAAATCCATATATTAAGTTTATTTTAAGAGATTATATATATATTTTAAAATATATATATACTCAATTAAATTTTCCACGTCTTTATATCATTAGCGTATTATATGGGAAGTTATAAAGTTTAGGTTAATGGTTCAGTTCAGGATCAGATATACCTAAGATCCGATTGAGATTTACATAAGATTTTACATATTACTTATCATGAGTGACGGTGATAGGATTTGAACTTAACCTTATAAATTCAAATTTTTGAATGCCAACCACTTATGACATTCGCGTATTATATTTATGTTACGTTTTTGCGTCATATTTTACCAAAATTTAATCATATCTATAGATCATAATCATGAGTTCAGAGCTTCTGCTAAAGTAATACATTCTTGAGAAGCCACTTGTAGAAGTTAAATTGATTATCAAGGTTAACTTGACTGAAGCATATTTACTAACACATCGAAGTTTGTATAGGTATATAATATTTTAAAATATTGCATAAAAATGTACGGATTATTGGATCAACCCAGGAATTAATGGAGCATAAATAATCTGTGATTTCTGGGACTTTCTGCGAGAAAAAACAAAGGATTTGGATGTTAGCTCATGTTTTTTCTTTCACTATTAAATTGTCTGGAATTTTCCAACACCACCATAATGTTAGTGATGGTCTTGCCGGCCTTGTACTCATCATCATCAAAAGTCCGATTAAATATATCACAGAGATTTATATTTAAACTCAAATTTATTTTATGAACTGATTGAGCAGAGTTAAAAATCTGGTTGTTCTTTGCACTAATTGCAACACGAATAGCGATGTAGATATTAACATTTCAACTTTAGATTTGTTGAATATCATCTTCTGAAGATATTTACATGAATTAATTGAATCCAGTTCATATATATATATATATTACACATGAATGGCTTTTATTTGCAGGAAACGTGTGTCGTTTTAGGGAGGTGATGATAATGGCATCTTGCTTGCAATAAATCCCTTAATTTGTGCCCTCTTTTCCGGCATTTTTAGTACAATGTTTAGGTGTAAATTGTCTGAAAATTTATCTGTTGTTTATATTATAGCGGTGGTGTCGGATACAAAGCGATTAGGGTAAAACATGAAATATTAATAAATTGATGTACTGAAGGCATTAGATTCTTAATATGATGTTAAAGATTTAAGTTCTGGCGTTGTAAACGGAGACGACTAAAGAAAAAGGTGATGTTGTACTATATTGCTTAAATTATTGAAACAATAAATCAGAGATGATTATACTAAAATTAGGGTCAAAACATGGAATATTATTTGCCTTTTCTTCCTAAATGTATGTATGTATGTTGTTCATCCAATAACATTTCTACATTTTAGAAAGCCCTCTAAACTTAACGATCGAAAAAACAGAGACCTCTTCATATCGAGCACATGCTTTATTTTAGAAAAAACACAAACTTTGCTTCTTGTCGAATATATGTTTCCATATATGTGCAATAATCTTAATGCTGTAAGACTCGACCTTATGTCATGAGTAGTAGAGATATAGAAACAGTCAGAGAAGGCAGGGGAGAATTGGGGGAATTGAAAGTAGGGTTAGGGATTTCAATTGAGAAAATTAGGGTAATTGGGAATACAAAATTAGAAGGGCTTACTCACTTACCTGATGGACCAAATCATAGGAAGGAATCATGCCAGCAGCACCTGCAGGAAAAACAATTATGTTAGACAGTTGTACTGTCAGCTGGTAAAGTGGTTAGAATTGGTACAATGTTAACAAATAAAACGTGTATTGAACCAAGAGGAAATTATCTGAAAATTGAATGAATTGTTCTCTTCTTCAACCTCTATTTCTTCTCTAAATTTATTCTCTTAATCTTTATTTCTATTTCTTCGATTCTCTTCTTCTCCGATTCTCTTGGGTCATAACAAATTGGTAATCAGAGCCACAACTCCTGGCAAAGCAATGGCTGAATCCTCTGCTCTTTCTGCAATTCAAAACCAGATTGACGACTTAGCAAAGTTGGTGAAGCAAGATCAGCAGTACCTGGAGACAATGATTGCAAAGAATAAGGGTTATTTCGAATAGATCCTAGGAGTATTGACAGGAAAAATGGTGGAGCAGGACCAAAACAGCCCTGAAACGGAGTCGTTACCTGTGGCAATCGAAGGCACAAATGATGGGTGTCAAGTGTTTGATAAAATGCCATCCATCACTAATACCCAACACTTGGAAATTGGTTCCAACCATGAGTGGTCTGAAGAACAAAAGGTGGAATGGATAATATCTGAACCAAGTGGAAAACGACTGTTGTTTGGTTTTGATCTTCCTATAACAGAAGAAAATGGTGTTGTTTTGGATATAATCAGTATCATGGCAGAGTTTCCGGCAAACAACTTTGGAGCATACACCATTTCAATTGCAACTGCCTCTTCTGATGTTCTTGAGTTCCTGCAGCGTGAATGCCATGGGAAACCATTAAGAGTTGTACCACGGTTTGAGAAGTCAGGTTTGCCTACATCAGTTCGAATTGCTACTTTTACGCCTTTCATAATTGATTTTTCTGTGGGTAATTCAGATTTCAATGAACATGTTGAAACTTTTGATCCTTTTGTGTTTCGGCTTTTGTTGATGGGAAGGAGTATAATTTATTTAGCTAAGAACTGGAGTGTGAATCAAAGGTTGCACTTTATGCTTTCTAATCTATTGAAGTTGGGTATATGGAGCAATCTCAGTGTTTATGATATGGACAACATCG